GTCAAACACAAAGAATCTCCCTGCCCCCCTATTGAATATAAAGCCCAGACTACAAGCAAATAACATCTCAGTGTAGTACTATTATCAGTGAACAAGTGTGATTGGCTGCAAAGTTACCAAACTACTGAGTAGTGTCAGGAAAGTCAGCAAAGCTGTGAAAACAAAACCTACAAGCAGCAGAAGCAAGGCTTCACACTGATCTGCCTGCACTGATCAGACAGAATGAATGTTACGTCAGTGTTTGTAGCACAGGATTTCAGCAATGAACATCCGCATTGCATGGCTCTGTATACAAGAAATAAACCAGGACCTGGATGTGATTTCCAATCTGCAGGAAACTATTACAATGCGCAGATTGCACAGCGACTCACCTGCAGGAAGGTGTCCTCCCTTCAGTGGCAAAGTCTGCACAATCACCTCTGTAGCCATGTTGCGTCTCTGACACTTTGTTTACTGCTAACAACACACCGTCTGATCTGAGTTTATATAGAGCGCAGGGTGGGGCCCCATGGGATTACCCAGAAGGCCTTTGTTTTGATTGTCAGTCAGGTACAGCTGGGGGCCACAATCCCCGGTCCTGCCCCACAGTAGATATAGAAAGCTGAGTATTAAACGGCGACATGTGAAATATAAGTGTAGGAATTATAGGAAGTATTATCAGAGCGGCTTTGTTGTTGGGAACCCCCCTGAAGGGGCCCCGGCCGTCTCTGGCTGCAGCAACATGGAGGACAAATACGTTTCTTGAGCAGGAAATGTAACGAAGGGCTTGCTGCTGGTGACTGGGGGCCGCTCTCTATTGTTATTCATATTTGTTTCCTTTGTCTCTGCTATTCTCTGCTAGTAATGGCAAAATGTGTCAATATAATAACAAAGCTCAAAGATTATTTATTAGATTATAAAGTGTCTCTCAAACCAAAAAATGTGATATATTGTAGCTTACTGATCCTTAGTGGTGGCTACATTTGTTTTCTTTATTCTGGCTTTTATCCTTTATGCTTTTATTATTTCTGTAGTACTCTGAGAGAGCTGGGAACAATGGTAACTGATAACAATCAGCAGAGGAAGTAATCACCTCTAAAGATTTCTGGCAGGATCAACAGCTATTCTTTTTCACTTATTGAACAAATACAACAAAACACTTTCAATGGTATATGTAACAGGCTAAAAGGGGAGCAAATAACAGAAGTTCATTGTTAGGGTTTCCATACACTAAGGGGAGAGTTCCAGACTCTCCCGGACACTCCGGGAGTCTCCGGCTATTAGCAGAGTAAACCTTTCCATGCGATCTGGTTTTTTTTCCAACATCGGGGGGCTGCCGTAAGAGGAAAAAAAAAACCCCAGCATGGGAATGCATAGCTAGATTTTTTATTCTGGCGGCAGCAGTCAGAATACTAAAAAATGAAAAAAACCAGCAGATAGCAAAGAATCTATTGCTTCCCGTGCTATCTGCCATCATTGCAGAGGAGAGGGGTGGGGGAGGGGAGAGAGTAGGGAGGAGCTTGGGCGTGTTCGCAAGCGTCTCGTGCCGAGCCCGCTAGGAAGCCGTCAGCGCGCGGGGGCCAATCACAGGCACTGAGACGTGTTTCTGGTCCGCAGCTGCAGAGATCGGAAAATGCCTCAGTGCCTGTGATTGGCCCTGCGCGCTGACGGCTTCCTGGTGGGCTCGGCACGAGGCACTTGCGAACACGCTCAAGCTCATCACTAGGAGAGAGGGCACCTTCCTGAAATAGTTTTTTTCAGGTTTTTTCAGAGCGATTTTGAGCGGAGCGACATTGAGCTACAGTGCACATTTTGTCACGCTACGTAGTGCGACTTTTGGCAGGGACTTCGTAGCTGCTACATTGGGCTGTAACCAATCAAAAGCAGTCTTGATGTGACATCATTCCCTCCTTCTTATATTTCTGTGCAAAAGTGACACTTCTGTAGCGCGACATTGAGCTGCACCATTAAAGTCTATTGGGCCAAATCGCACAAAATAGGTCATGTTAGAGCTACAAGCGACATTTATTTATTACAGGTATTTATGTAGCGCCAACAATTTACGCAGCACATTCACATCAGTCCCTGCCCTCTAGGACAGAGGTAGGCAAACTCCGGCCCTCCAGCTGTGTTGGAACTACAAATCCCATGAGGCATTGCAAGATTCTCAGAGGCATAGGCATGACTCTCAGACATAGATGCATCATGGGATTTGTAGTTTCACCACAGCTTGAGGGCTGGTGTTTGGCTACCTCTGCTCTATGTGCTTACAATCTAAGGTCCCTATCTCACATACATACAGGAGCCAATTAGCCTAAAAGCAAGTCTTCAGAGTGTGGGAGGCAACCAGAGTACCCGGAGGAAACCCATGTAAGCACAAGGCTCCAAGGCAGAAGCGCTAACCACTACGCCACTGTGCTGACATTGAGCATTGAGCATTGAGCTGTGAGCTGTGAGCTGTGAACAGCTCTATTGAAATGCATTGGATAAGCTACATTGAGCGACATTGAGCTGATATTTGAGCGATTTTGGAGCTGAAATCGCTCAATAAATCGCTCAGTGTGAACGGGGTCTGAAGTTCCCAAGTATACCTATAGACTTGTATATGGGCAGCACGCTGAGTGTCTCCATACTTCAGGTACAGCCCGAGCTTATGGGGGCTCACATAGGACAAGGTGAAATAAACCGCAAATTCTTCAGAACAGAAACAACTAGGACTGTATCTCACCGGTAGGGGATGGTGTTACTTTATTTCTACAAAGATTTGGGGCTCATTCACATCACCTGCACTGGGGTGCATTGGGCAAGAAGCCTTGACCACATGTTGCATGCTGTGTTGGTGTGCACTGCAAAAATAATGAGGTGGAAAGCATTTTATCATACAACCTCACATTGCTGCTGCATGTGTTAGCTTAATGGGAGATAATATAAAAAAATAATAATGCTTGGTCTTCTAGTGCCAGGGAGAGTACTTCCCCTGTACTCTTTCCTGCACAGAAGTCTGATTTATAATGTGCTCACACAGCAACATTTGCACCACATTGCTGCTCCTATTACCAGCTCCATCTGGTGGTAATAATGTGCTGCGAATGCCGTTCATCGCTATACACTATGCAAACGCTTTATCACCCCCTGAGTGATGATGCAAGCAATGATTGTTTAAAACAAAGGTGTATTTGTCCTTTAATGCTCTATTCATTAAAAGAGAACTATGTAGTAACCTTTTCATCCCATAGTTCTCTCACGGGAGGACATATACTAACATCCTCCTGTGACCCAAAGCTCAGTATACAGCGAGCTATATACTAAGAGCGCCGCAGCCGGGACAAATCCCTACAAAACTGTTTAAATCCACCCAGCTGGCTGACTGACAGCAGGCTCTGCCTATCTAGAGGCAGAGCCCGCTGTGCCCGCCCCCTCCCTCATCCGTTCCTCCTGTCAGCTCTGGAGGATCGGAGAGGGGAGGGGGGGGAATCCCTGCGGGGAGCAGTGACTGACAGTCACGTCTCGCTGCAGGGAGATGAACGCAAAGTAAGAGAGTGACGGTATGTGTTCGCTCACTTCCTGATCTATAGAGTCGTCGTGTGACAGTTTCATTGTCACACGTCGGCTCGAACTATGTGTAAATCACTCATCTCATAGTTCTCCTTTAATGCACATGCTCCACATTGCCATTCAGAATGTCGCCCCAGCGCACAATACAGTAGGAAGAAATGCTCCTACCATTCAGGGCGCCACAATGCATGTTGACGAATGAGGTGTAAATAGACTGTGCATTGGGGTGTGCTGCTTTGCCTAAAAGTAAGGCGGATTCAATTTGAGTTTCACATGTTAAAGCTGTTCAGTCAAAGTGAATAGTTTGCCTTAAAGCAACGCGTGTCAATGCATGAAAGAAATGTGCTAATAGGTGTGAATAGAGCCAAGGAGCAGATGTCTGTAATGTTTATGGTCTTGTCAGTCTGTGGAAGGGTGTGTGGATAACAGATATGATCCTTCCCCTGCAGATAACTTGTAGCCCGCGGAGGAATGGCTCATACACACAGTGAGGGTCATTGTCATGAAACATGTGAGGCTCTGCGTGGATTTGGGCACAGCAAAATGAACCTGGCAGCAGACTGTGCCCAGAATTGTTTCCCATTGAAGCTCAGGAGGACCTTTGAAATGAAATATATATCATATATAATAATATAAACACACAATTAATGTCCCCTGCAAAATGATAATTGGCTGGCTTTGTCTGCCTTCATTGCTTCTTGATTCACTGACCAAAAACAAGCAAGCCAATCGGAAAGTCAGAGTGACATCACAGCTTCTGATCTCCATCTTTGTTTTCGGTCAGTAAGTCTGAAAATACTGAACTCCTTGATAACCAGGTAACCAGCATTTTAAAAGGAGAGATTAGCAAAGGCAGCGCGCACATTTCTCTCACTAGCAGATTTCTTTAACAATAACAAGGAGGAATACAAAGGTTGCTGTTGTTAATCTGTGTCTGTAATGGTTATATGGCCGTCATGCTGGTCCCCTGGCTTTAATAGTTTAAGTCACTGGCTTGGAGCAAGTACAGTAGGCTGGATGAACGCCTCATCTGCATAGTTGTCCCGGGTCAGTGACTTGGAGCCTGTATTCCTTTGTATAGATACAATCCAGGTAAGGTGGGTCATCGCTGCAGGAACGATTTTCGGGCTGCTCAGTAATACACAGGAACTGTATGGGGGGCCTTGTAGACATGTGCCTCAAGATATTTTGTATCATCATATCTATGTGGCGGAGTGCCTCTTCATTCAATGACAGGTGTGGGTCCCTTTATCTCAGCTTCCCACAATCCTCTGGACTCTCTTCATCCCCTGAGCTCCTGGACACATGCCCAGGGGATATACATTCCATCTGTTCCCACCCTCTGGGGCTCAGTAAGACCCTGCCTGATAGGACAGCAGTGACTGGGCAAGTGCGCTAACACCAGGTGCTGGGACCGCCCCCATTACGTCTGGTGTCCTGGCCACCAGCTTTGCGCACAAGAGCTGCAGCTTTTGTACAAGACCCAGTCACTGGAGTGGACTTTATTGCAGTCCATTTGGAGAAACAACCCATGCAGTGGAGTGGCCGTACCTTCAACGACCGGAACCTCATGACCGAAGGCATCAGCTGTAGAGTCAGTGCAATGTCTGTTCGAGCAAGCCTGGGACCGCCCCCATTACGTCTGGTGTCCTGGCCACCAGCTTTGCGCACAAGAGCTGCAGCTTTTGTACAAGACCCAGTCACTGGAGTGGACTTTATTGCAGTCCATTTGGAGAAACAACCCATGCAGTGGAGTGGCCGTACCTTCAACGACCGGAACCTCATGACTGAAGGCATAAGCTGTAGAGTCAGTGCAATGTCTGTTCGAGCAAGCCAATCTACTCAGCTATCAGCCTGCCCTCCAGTGAGAGTGTTCTGAAAATTTGTTTGCAGTAAGGAGGTCATAAGAACTTTATCCTTTTTTCCATAAGCTTCACTGAACTCAAAGTGTGCTGCCATCTA